TTCCATTTGAAAATTACTTTATTTTATTAACAGATAAGAAGGAAAACATCTCCAATTTTGGAAGATGCAAAATCTTCAATTGGTATGATTTTCTTCACCACGATCTCATTGGGCTTTATTTCTGTTGCGACTTGCAGTGAAGATGTTACTTGAGCTATTATCTTTGCCTTAATGGACATAAGTAATTCAGAACTGGGCGAACCGCTTACTCTGTTTCTGTATAGGCCTTGCTTCCTATACCTTTGGAAGTAGGTAAGTGAAATTAATCCTTGGTTTCCTTTTCTAGTTTTATGTTGTCCTTAGTTTCCTTTGTTTTATAGGAAAGTTTGAGGCAGCAACTGTGGTATCCACGATGTTCAATGAGGGAATCAAGAACTATTTTGATATGACCCTTCATTCTTGGGCCTATGCTAGAACTAGGGAACGTACTCAATGTCTTGAATCTTTTTTTGGTTACACCTATTGATTACTTTTAGCATTCAAAGCTGTTGAAATATGTTTTGATACAGCTTTAGAATCTTCTAGGTTATTGGGCCAATATCTTGACATGGGTGAGACTCACCAAGATCATGTGGTTCTTGTTATTGCATTGGATGAATATTTTGAAGAATTTGGTCTTGGGACGAAGATTGGATCATTAGAACATTTAGTACATTATTTAGAGCAGAACACCTGGAGGGTAGTTCCTTTACAAATTTGTTGAATCCTCATAGCATTCAACTGAACTGGTAAGAGGGCTTTGGACGGAGTTTTATTAGGTTGGTTTGTTTAGCATTGCATAGTTTCCTAGAAAACTTTATAAAACAGAGCATAGTTGGGGCCAATTTTAGTCACACCTCCTGCAGTTTCCCAAACAAATTTTGAAGTACATACACCTTCCAATTGATTAAAGGTCTGTTTGGTTTGCAGCCGTAAATGGAATTAGAATCGAAATCCTTCGGAATCGGAATCGGAATGGTCCATTCCCATAGTTTATTTGGTTCAGACAAGAATGGGAATGGGAATTTAAATCAGCAGGAATGGGATTTCATTCTCAAGGGAGGGAGGGGAGGGAATGGCCATTCCCTCAAATGGGGGAATGCCATTCCAGTACCCGCATGAAATGGTAATTGACAATGTTATGAGACTACTTTCCTTTTGAACGTCCCGATGTAAAAATTTACACGAGATGTTTTTGTTATTTATTTCTATTGTAGAAGATAATGGTTCGATGTTTCCAATGATTGTTTTGGGTACTAGTTTCTTCTTTTATTTATTGATTGCAACTCTTTGGTGGAAATTTGATCTAGATGCCTTCTCCAATTTATTTTAGTACAATTTCTACTTATAAATGAGTCTGTACGCATCGGATAAGTAATCTGCATGAAAGGGTTTACTAATGGTATGCGTTTGAGTGAGTACAAAATGGAAGCAATACCTAGGGTGAGTGGAGTTTTCTTCTAAGGTATGGTTTGCTGTTGTAGAGAAGTTGTTGCCAGCAAGGGAACAATTTTAAACAGCCAAAGTCTGCATTCTTTTTCTTTTGTTCTCTTTACCTCCGTCCTTCCCTCTCTCTGTCCCTCATCCCAAACACATCTAAGCTCATCCAGCCTTGTTTATATGTTTGTCTAATGGGAAAACATATTCTAAATGTTCCGTTTCATTTTTCTTTTGTCAATGCTTTCTTGAATGTGGATTCCAGCCACGTAACTGTCTAATCTTGTGGCGGTGTTTATTTTTATGAATTCTGTTTCCACATGCTTAGTGGATTTCCTCTTGCATCATTTTTTCTGCTAAGTCGATGATTGTTCCTTCCGAAGCTTCAAATGGTTGTTGCTTTGGAAGTTTGCTACTCAAGATAGGACTTTCAATGGGCTGGGTTTTGGTAGAACCAACCTCGAATCGATTATTATTACTATGGACAAAATTATAGTCCCAGAACTGAAAACTAGAAGTATTTACTTAAAGAATAATTTAAAATTTGAATTTCGATAATATAACTTAATAAAATTTACAGAAAATGATTATTATTGATATATTAATAAATTAAACATTTTAACTAATATTATCTATCAGAATTGGCATTTATAACATAAAATATGGTAAAAGGTATTGGAGAATTAAGAAAATCTTGTACATACTTTATAAAACAAATTGGTTCCGGGTATGAATTGGTTCAGGACAGGGAATACCTAGCACTGACCCAATTATTATTTGAGACAAAATCATGGAACCAGAACCGTTATAATTCTAGAACTATAAACGGTTCTGATCTGTTTGTGTTCATCGGGCAAATGTGACCCACTGGCTGCCCTAATTCTAGAATAAGGATCATGGGAAGACAAGACCTGCAATAAGTCTGGTATTTCTTTTCCTTCTCCACGGGGATTTGCTTTTCTTGGTTGTGACCTTTCCAACTCATTGCCAATGTTGAAACCTTTGCTGTTGTAGGGGATGATTGTATAGTGGGATGTTGATTCTAGACACAAACAGATCGATAAGTACTTCCACAAAATGACAACCATGCCAATGTGTGTGCATTATTAGTAGTTGGCATTGTCATCTGCAGTATCAAGAATGACCGTAGGGCTTGTAAGCAAACATTTTTTTTATGCCAAAATTTTTTATATGCTAACATTTCCTTATTGTTGTTTCTATTGTCAATTTTTTTTTGTGTTGTTTTCTTAAACTAATCCGAGACATCTTCAAGCATTGATTCTTGTAGAAGGTTATGTCGACGCAAATTATTCAAGTATTTGAGTTGGTGTGTAATAGTGGGTCTTGGCGTTGCATATGCAGGAACACAGGATTAGAAGGTGAAGTATCTCAGTTTTCACCCGCAGAGTGACATTTTGATTCATAAAAGCATTTTCAAAGCCTGGTTTCTAAAGTCTTAGAGAAGAAGATTACCAAACTATTAGGCCAATACTTTATAACAAATGGGTTGGAATATGGTTCGAGGGGATTTTGTTGTACATCTGTTAAACACCTTTCATCGGGAATATTATTTGTTGTTGAAGTTTTTGCGACTCAAAACTATTTGAATGGTTAAGCATGCTCTATTTAGTAAGCTTTTGCCCATTATGGTAATGTATCAGAACATATGTTGTATAGTGTTTATTGTTTTTTAGAATTTTGATGAATTAAATATGCAGTGCCATTTGAAGCTTACTTTATTTTATTAACAGACAAGAAGGAAATCATCTCCAATTTTGGAAGATGCAAAATTTTCAATTGATATGATTTTCTTCACCACGATCTCATTGGGCTTTATTTCTATTGCGTCTTGCAGTGAAGATGTTACTCGAGCTATTATCTTTGCCTTAATGGACAGAAGTGATTCTGAATTGGTAAGAGGGCTTTGGATAGAGTTTTATTAGGTTGGTTTGTTTAGCATTGCATAGTTTCCTAGAAAACTTTATAAAACAGAGCATAGTTGGGGCCAAATTTTAGTCACACCTCTTGCAGTTTTCCAAACAGATTTTGAAGTACATACACCTTCCAATTGATTAAGGGTCTGTTTGGTTTGCAGCTGCAAATGGAATTAGAATCGAAATCCTCCATAATCGGAATCGGAATGGTCAATTCACATAGTTTATTTGGTTCAGACAGGAATGGGAATGGGAATTTAAATCAGCAGGAATGGGATTTCATTCCCAAGGGACGGAGGGGAGGGAACGGTCATTCCCTTAAATGGGGGGATGCCATTCCAGTACGCACATGAAATGGTAATTGACAATGTTATGAGACTACTTTCCTTTTGAACGTCCCCATGTAAAAATTTCCACGAGATATTTTTGTTGTTTATTTCTATTGCAGAAGATAATGGTTCGTTGTTTCCAATGATTGTTTTGGGTACTAGTTTCCTCTTTTATTTATTTATTGCGAATCCTTGGTGGAAATTTGATTTAGATGCTTTCTCCATTTTATTTTAGTACAATTTCTACTTAGAAATGAGTCTGTACACATCGGATAAGTAATCTTCATGAAAGGGTTTACTAATGGTATGCGTTTGATTGTGTACAAAATGGAAGCAATACCTTGGGTGAGTGGGGTTTTCTTCTAATGTGTGGATTTCCTCTTCCATCATTTCGTCGGCTAAGTTGCAATTTCGTTTTATTTTAGTACAATTTCTACTTAGAAATGAGTCTGTAGGCATCGGATAAGTAATCTGCCTGAAAGGGTTTACTAATGGTATGCGTTTGAGTGAGTACAAAATGGAAGCAATACCTAGGGAGAGTGGAGTTTTGGGTACTAGTTTCCAATGATTGTTTTGGGTACTAGTTTCTTCTTTTATTTATAGATTGTGACTCCTTGGTGGAAATTTGATCTAGATGCTTTCTCCGTTTTATTTTAGTACAATTTCTACTTAGAAATGAGTCTGTACGCATCGGATAAGTAATCTACATGAAAGGGTTTACTAATGGTATGCGTTTGAGTGAGTACAAAATGGAAGCAATACCTAGGGAGATTGGAGTTTTCTTCTAATGTATAGTTTGCTGTTGTAGAGAAGTTGTTACCAACAAGGGAACAATTTTAAACAGCCAAAGTCTGCATTCTTTTTCTTTTGTTCTCTTTCTCTCCGTTCTTCCCTCTCTCTGTCCCTCATCCCAAACACATCTATGCTAATCCAGCCTTGTTTATATGTTTGTCTAATGGGGAAACATATTCTAAATCTTCCGTTTCATTTTTCTTTGTCATTTCTTTCGTGAATGCAAATTCCAGGCACGTAACTATCTAATCTTGTGGCGGTGTTTATTTTTATGAATTCTGTTTCCACAAGCTTAGTGGATTTCCTATTCCATCATTTTGTCAGCTAAGTCGATGATTGTTCCTTCCGAAGCTTCAAATGGTTGTTGCTTTGGAAGTTTGCAACTCAAGATAGGGCTTCCAATGGGTTTGGTTTTGGTAGAACCAACCTCGAATTGATTATTATTACTATGGAAAAATTCATATACCTGGAACCGAAAACTAGATGTATTTATTTAAAGAATAAATTAAAATTTGAATGTCGACAATATAATCGTAATAAAATTTACAGAAAATGATTATTATTGATATATTAATAAATTAAACATTTTAACCAATATTATCTATCAAAATTGGCATTTATAACATAAAATATGGTAAAAGATATTGGAGAATTAAGAAAATCTTGTACATACTTTATAAAACAACTGGTTCCGAGTATGAATTGGTTCAGGACAGGGAATACCATGCACTGACAATTATTTTGAGACAAAATCATGGAACCAGAACCATTATAATTCTAGAATTATAAACGGTTCTGATCTGTTTGTGTTCGCCGAGCAAATGCAACCCACTGGCAGCCCTAATTCTAGAATAAGGATCATGGGAAGACAGGAGCTGCAATAAGTCTAGTATTTCTTTTTCTTCTCCATGGGGATTTGCTTTTCTTGATTGTGACCTTTTCAACGCATTTCCAATGTTGAAATTGTTTTACAGTTTTGTATGCCCTTAGCTTCAATCAGAATGATGTACTTTATGAGTTTATTGTAAATGAATAAAAGTTCCTATTTGATTCATGTTCCCTTGGTATGTTTCTGTGTAATACCCTTAAACTGGACACTTAATGAGACTCGTCTTAGTTTAGAATGTTCACAGCCAGTAGGTCGGTCTGGGGAGACCTATCCTGATAAGGCTGACACTGTTGTGCCACCAAGTCGGTTGGGGTGGCCTGTCTCAGCTG